ATCTAATTTGATTTATTATACATATATGTTTGTACATAAAATTATAAATTTTTTTTTTTTTTTTTTTGTCATCTACAAAACAGACTCATATTGACTCTGTGAACCATTCCGGCAGCTCCGTATCCATGTGAACAACGAAAGACGTTTGTCTTCTGGCACTGCGTGCTAGACTATCCGCCCGTGAATTCAGTGTCCTTGAGACATGGATGATTTCTGAGCTTTGAAAGTTTCCTCGAAGCGTCTTGATATCTTCCAAATAAATTGCAAAAGCTGGCCAGTTTTCTGGTTCCGACACCATCGTCACCAATTGAGAACAGTTTGTTGCAAAAGTAACGTGATATTGACGCAAATTCCTCATACTTTCCATTGCCCAAATAAACGCTTCCACCTCCGAATGAAGAGGGGATAAACTAGCTCTAACATTCCGTGCTCCCATTAAACCCTCAAATCCTTGTAATGTACTATACCAGCCTTGGCCATCAAATACATCATTTGCTTTCCATGAACCATCAATAAAACACCAACGCCCTGCTATGATCGGTAAGGTCGCAACTACCTGTGTATGTGGTTCCCTCTGGGGAGCTCTGATTTGGGCCTCCTCCCAGAGAGTTGACTCTGTTTCCGCCAGAGCTAACGTGTCCCTTGGGTCAACATCCAAATTACTAAACGTTTTGCTATTTCTGCCTTTCCAAATGTACCACAATATCCATGCAAAATGATGATCGTCCATCTTAGGAGTAATTCGCCAGAATAAGTGATCCATATTTGTAAACAGAGACTCCGTTGGAAAAGTTACCTGGTTCAAAGGGATCCTTGACAATGCCCAAATTTGACGCGCTGGTGGGCATTCAAAGAAAACATGATTAACCAATTCTTCTGCAGCACCACATCTATCACAACATATGTCCCCATTTATCCCTCTTCCCTGCAGATTTTTCTTAACAGCAATACATCCCGACAGCAATTGCCATAAGAAATGTTTGATCTTAGGAGGACACCGTATCTTCCAGCAGAAAGCTTTTAAGGTATCCACTGTAGGTCCATAAACCTCAGTCGATCTTCCTGCATCGGGGTACACCCGTTCAACTTGATATCCTGATTTAACTGTATATCTACCATTCTTGGTAAAATGCCATCCAACTCTATCCTCCGTAGGAGTCCTACCAAGTGGAATGCTCTCAATTATTTTCGCATCCTGAGGATCGACTAAAGCCCGAATAATCTGCAAATTCCAAGTCCGCGTTTCTGTGTTGATGAGAGATTCCACTGTGAGATCCGGAGAAAAATTATTATTATGTAGATTTGTTGTTGCTGGTCTCAGACGAGTGGTTGGGAGCCATGGATCATGCCATACGGAGATAGATGATCCTGATCCCACCCGTTTAATAAGTCCTTTGCTAACCAGAGATCTAGCGGAGATCATACTCCTCCAGCCATATGACAGAGAGTATGACCTGATCGGTTCCAAAGATGATCCATTCCTATAGTACCGACCTTTAAAAACACGAGAAAACAAACAATTTGGTTTCTCAATAAGACGCCACAATTGCTTACCAAGCATTGCCGTGTTAAAGTCCTGGAGATCCTTAAAACCCAAACCACCTTCATCCTTTTGAAGACATAATTTATCCCACGATTTCCAATGCATCCCTCGTGTACTTCCCCCTGGACTCCACCAAAAGTGTGCTACCGCACTGGTTAGTTTCTTCGTAGTTGCTTTAGGTAATCTATAACAAGACATCACATGATTTGGTAACGCCGTAACCACTGATTTAATAATCACTTCTTTCCCTCCTTTTGTGAAGAATCTAAATGTCCATCCATTGACCCTTTTATTTAACCTTTCTTGTACAAATCCGAATACTTGTATCTTAGACCCTTCCAGACTTTCTGGTAGGCCCAGATATGTTCCCATGCCTCCTATATTATGAATTCCTAGTATATTTCGAATTTCCTGTCTGTTCTCTTCGCCAATCCGATGACCAAATTGAACTGATGACTTCTGGAAATTAATCAATTGACCTGAAACCGCCTCATATTCCTTGAGTATAGTGAGTATGGTTTGACACTCTGTCGGTAACGCCTTACAAAAGAAAAGACTATCATCCGCAAAAAGAAGATGCGAAATCGCTGGGCACGCTCGAGCCACCTTCATTCCTGTTAATCGTTTATGTCGCTCCGCCTTTTTAATATTCGTAATTAAAGCCTCCGTACACATAATAAACAGGTAAGGTGACAAAGGATCCCCTTGCCTTAAGCCTCTCTGGGGGATGATTAAGCCCTTTGGTTGACCATTAATTAATACCCTATACTGGACTGACGATATACATGCCATCATAAGTCTTGTCCAATGAGGATCAAAATCCATCTTATTGAGCAGAGCTTGAATAAAATTCCATTCCACTCTGTCATACGCTTTACTCATGTCCGTTTTTATCGCCATAAACTTTCCCTGACACGACTTGTTGGCCCTTAAACCATGAAACATTTCCTGTGCAATGAGAATATTATCCGAAATTAATCTCCCTGGGACAAAGGCCGATTGGGTCTCCGATATTAGATTGGGTAGACAGATTTTCAACCGTTGACATAATACTTTTGAGATGATCTTATATCCAACATTGCACAAACTTATAGGTCGAAGCTCTGTCATTCTTGTGGGTCTCTCTGTCTTCGGAATCATACAAATATGAGTAATATTTAACCGATCATCCAACACCCCTGAACCCAAGAACCGATTCACCATCTCTACTAAATCCTTTTTAATCACATGCCAGGAGTGTTGAAAAAAAAGTGCAGTCATTCCATCTGGACCTGGCGCCTTTTCTGGATGCATCAAAAATAAAGCTTGTCGAACCTCCTCTTCCGTGGCCATCCTTAACAATCTTTGATTCATTTGAAGCGTAATGTTGGTAGGAACTTCCTCAAGGAAAGTATCAAACTCGGATGGGGAAATCGAAGTAAACAACTCCGTAAAATAGTCTACTGCTACTTGTTCCACACCAGTAGCCTCTGTTATCCAATTTCCAGCCTCATCATGAAGCCCCACTATTCTATTACGCACTCGTCTTTGTTTTGTTAAAGAATGATAAAACTTAGTATTAAGATCACCCGAGGAATACCACATGTTGCGGCTCTTTTGATATCAGTAATCCTCTTCATCCTTGTATGCATCCTGTAATTTCCTAGAGACCTCCAATATATCCTCTTGGGTCCTATTATCATCCATCTGTACCTCTTCAAGCGCCCTTTGAAGATCTTGAATTTTCTCCTTTCCATACGGTGGTTTATTCTTCCTCCATTTTGCGATCTCCTGCCGACAATTACTGATCTTTGTGACCAAACTTCCCCCCTGGCCATTGGTGTCATCAGCCCAACCAGCTACAATCGATTCCATAAAACCTTCGCGTCCAATCCACCGCTTATCAAAGCGAAATTGTCCCCTACGTTTATGAACCCTATCCTCCATGTGAGCAATCACTGGTCGATGATCCGAACCAATCATGCCCAAATATTCCGTATAGGAGCACATGAAGAGTGTATGCCATTGCTCGTTCGCTAGTGCTCGATCAAGGCGACACCTTATCATCACTGCTCCTTTACCCTTCCCTCGTCGTCCTTGCCATGACATTTTATTACCTCGAGCCGGAAACTCGAGCAAACCACTGTTTCGAATCATATTATTAAAAGGGACAAAGGAGGCTAAGCTCCTTAACGCACCCCCTTCCTTCTCATGGTTTCCAGTAATCTCATTTAAATCGCCAATAATAAACCATGGATCTGATCTTGCTAAACCGTATCGAGTTAATCGTTCCCATACTTGTTCCCGTAAATCTTGAACCGGATCTCCGTATACAAAAGTTAGAAACATATTTTTCCCAAGCGCCACTGCCTCCACATCAATCATCCGATTAGAGGAGTACAAAATATTTACTTGGTACTCCTTGTTATAAAACAGAGCGAGACCCCCACTCCTGCCTACTGGATCCACCGTAGTCAAATAGTCATATCCAAAGTGTGCTTGAAACCCTTGTACAAACTCATACTCTTGCTTTGTTTCCGATAAAAATAAAAAATCTGGCCTATGCTTGTGCCATATTTCCCGAAGATAACTAATGGTCCATTTACTGCCCATTCCTCTGCAATTCCAACTAAGTACCTTCATAATAAAATTTAAAATGACACTCGATAGCTCATAAGAGAAGGGAATGATGAGACCCTTCACTCTGCAAACCTTTAACGGGCCAATCATCAATTAACTCGTTCATGACATACCAAGAGAAACCCTTGTCATTTAATGGTAATATCCAACAAAAGGAGGTGACACCACGAGATACCTTTGTAAACCTCGTGTCTCTGCATAGAGAAGTCCAAATTTCCCATACCAAAAGGCCAATCCTCTCGTTCCACCAGCAAAGAAGACACGTAGTTCGGAAATTCATAGCTTTGTATCGCCACAAGCAACGCCAACAGTGAGCATGTGGTAGGAGTGATGAGACCCACCACTGCCAAAGTGTAAGCATACACCCTTGTACCACAATCACATTCACAGAAATTACCAAATAATAAACTCGCATTAGTGCACCAACCGTCCGTGGAATCAGAGATACCAAACATATACAAGAGCATGCACAACATAACGAAATAAAGCGACAGTCTGATTCTGACCCCCTGAGACAAACGCAAACTTGGTGTCTACTGCTTAAACAATTCAAGCAGTATGTTTGCATCGAAAAAACTAGAATCCAAAGCTTATTGACAAATCCCATCATAACATGCAACCAGACATACCAAAAGAAACCAAGAACACCATTATTATTCCAATTCTCAGAAACGAAACGGATGCACGATCCATACAATACGATTTTGAAACAAAGGAAATAAACCCACAAAAACCAACAAATGCTGAAACAGCTTATTTGAAAAGAAAATAAATAAAAACCAGGACAAAAACACAAAACCAATCCTGCAACAAAAGCATCATACATTATCATGAGAAACTATTTCTTGGATGTACTTGCTTTAGGGTTTAAGGAACCCTTTTCAGACGCCTTCTTGCTGCCCTCTTCCTGACGTGCACCATTCTTTGTAGAGATGCGCTTGCTTTGAGCTATGATAGCCTGCACCATCCTCATCTTTGAGGTACCACCTGCAGCAGCAGTTCCTGCTTTGAAAGGTTTCTTCTTAAGGCCTTGTTTCTTCCCTTCTTCACCCTCGACAGTGTTCTGCACAATCTCTCCCTCCTCCTTCACCTCATCTTTCGCACCTACATCTTCACTCACACCAGAATCACGAGTGACAGCCTTTGTTACCTCCCCTTCTGTGTCAGTAAGATCCTGGAAACCGTCATCCTCGGTAGCCGCGTCTGCTAAGTCCTCTTGTGGTGCCACTCCATCCAACTCCATCCCCTCGTCTCTCTCCGTGATGTACATGGCCTCAAGAACTTCATTTGCCAGGTCAAGGTTGTCTTCCGCAGGTAATCGGTCCACAGCTTTCTCCTGGCTCGGCCTCTCAATGTTATTTGTGGTGACCTGTACAAGAGCACCCGCCTCTCGGTTTTCCTGATCTTCTGTTTGATCTATCCCCCTTGACCGATCATTCCTGACTGGCTCATAGCGTCTTGATGTGTTCCTGTCACGGTAATCACGTGGGCTCCTTTCCCTCTCTCTTCTCACCCCCCTTGACTCAGTTGAGAAACGATCCTTATGAGCCCCATTCCTGGCTCTGTCTCGTTGAGCAGACCTGTGACTGGACCCTCTTTCCTCCCCTCGAAAATAATCTTTGTTTCTATTATCCCTCCCGCCTTTCTTTTCCTCAACTTTGACCCAGTTAGACTCCTCATCCCCATACATCTTTCCCTTTCCTTTTCCTTGATAATCAGCCCTAACAATACCTTGATCTTTGTCTCCGTCAATTCCATTAAGAACAACACCTTTATAGCTAGCAAACCGATCTCCAAATTTCTCACCAGCCTCCGCTTGACCGTCGGACCTTCTTTGTGAGAAATCTGTGCTTAATGGGCACCTATGAAGATCATGACACAAGCTAAAGCATGTCCTGCAGTAGCCAAACAGTTTCTCGTACCTGAGAGATATGGGCAATTCATCTCCCTCATAATGCTCACCCCCGCGAAAGTCGACTTCTGTCTCAAACACCAAGCTCTTAAAGCCATCAACCACAACTTTAATTTTACCGTAGTCAATGTCCACTTCCAGCACCCTCCCAATAGCATTACCGATGTTTTCAAACGTTTGATAGGCCCAGAGCTGCAAAGGTACTCCCAACACCCTAACCCAAAAGGTGATCTCATATGGATAGTTTCTCTCCACCCGCGGTTGCCACCTCACCAATGAAACCATCCAATAGTCAAAATGGAAGGGTTGCATCTTCAAAACCTCTTCAATATCCTCTTCTTTTTCAAAATCAAATTGAAACCGACCAAGCCCCAAGTCTGCGCCAACCACCCTCTCCTCCACTTTCCATATCTTTGGAAGCACCGTTATGAGGAGATTAACATCTTGCTTGCTCGGATTCATGCACCGGCCAATCAACGTTCTTGAATAACCCTTAATAAGGTCAGAGTTATCAAAATGAGGAACCGAGATCTTCAGCTTTTTGATGACATTCTCCTCACCAGAATTACTTCCCGAAGTACCCACAAGCTTCCCCTGAGACATCTTAAGAAAACCGAGTAAGACAACTATGTTTACTACCAAGAGAGAAAAGTTGAAAGTGATGATCTGCAAACATACTTCCTCGCCCCTTATATAACCCTCATCATGCCAAGAAATTAAATTATGAAAATCCTCCCTAATCCTGGAAATCACAAGCCAGCCAGACAAATGATCTGATGAAATCTTTGAAAACCAATTAGAAGTAAGGAAAAAAAAGACACAGTTTCCTTTTTTCATGTAAATCAATATTCGCTGTGTATCATACGAGATACACCAACGCAAACTTCCTCTAATCCCTGATCCTCCCAATCCCGATCGAGATAAAACCGTGATTCCCGTACCTCTAACATTCCAAAATCGTACATTGACACCCTTGAAATCCATTGAATACGACTGATTCGCTGTAGCCACCGCCTTTATTACTCCGACTGGGCGTCCCAAAATCAGATCCTTGATCTTCTGTGAAAGTACACCATAAATAAGAATCGATCTAGTTGCCTTGTATTCCCCGATCCCATCAATCTTGTGATTTTCGAACTCCTCTCGAGATCCCTCCTGGCCAAAAACCTTTAATTTCCACGATCCCTGAATAACTCCCAAATCTTCTAAATGAAACATAGCAGGAAACCTAAATCGCCATATCTATCGCCATCGCCATCGCGCATATTGTGGCTTTATTTTATTGTTTAGGTCACATAAAATTATAAATATATCTGATTTATAATACTATAAATTATATATTATATAACATTATAAAATTATATATAAATTATATAATTTTTAGATATTTATACATTTTTATTATATTTTTATTCGCTAAACTAGTGATTTAGTTATTAAATTTGTAAGGGTACGTTAGTAAAAAAAAGTTAAGGTAGAAAATATTATTTTATAGTAATTTTTTATTATTTTTTCCAATAATAGTTTTTATTATTTCTATCAAATAATATCTTTTTATATTTTTACGCATGGAATTAGATATCCGATAGAAAATTATTGGTATTTCCAGATATCCGGTATATCAAATATTCAGAAGATGGTTCATGTAATTTTTGTATGAATAATCTGGAATATCGAATAATCCGAATATCCAGAATATTATGTAATTTTTGCAACGGACTATTCTCAATTAGTGAAGATGGTTTCGGGACTAGAAGAATGGACAGCGTTTGTAGCTTATCTAGAGGATATCAAGATATTGAAGGAAAACTTTTCCAACTCAAAGATCATCTCAAGAACGCAGAACAAAAAAGCAGATAGTCTTGCATACAATACCAGAAAATAAACATCTTTTGTGGTTCACATGTCTGAAGAATTATCGATTTGGTTGACAGAATTGGCTTGACAAAAAAGAAAAATACCAGATCAAAGCGAATCGACAATCAACTATATGTATAGTTTAAAGCGAATCACAGATAGCCTTAAATTTCTGAATATATGCTCCGTGCCTACCCCTAGGTACCAAGGAGCACTAGGTCAGCGACATGAAAACTTGAATATGTTTTTTCTGTATGTATTGGTTTTATATTTAATATATAGACATTTAGGAATGAAAGAGAAATAAAAAAACTTTGATTAGGTCCAATTAACTTTCGATTAGTTGGTATGGCTCTAGGTCCATGTCAAGCACATGCGTTATGTTTAGCGCAATTCGAACATGGATTAATGTTATGGGCCATTCATATAAACCGATTATAATTATGGCATGACTGGTGTAACTTCAGAGGTTGCAGATGCGGTTGGGATGTTTGCGAATGTGGATGGACATAGTTTAAGTGTTATTAAGAGATTTATACAAACGGTTAATAATTGGTACGTCTATGGTATTTATGACTAGTTAACTACCAAATACAATATTGGTTAAATAATAATTAATAATATGTTATATTTTATATAAAAATATTAAAAAATATTATTATAAGAAATATAAAAATTATATTTATAAAATCATACTATTAATTTTTCAAAAATTATAGAGAGTATTGTTGTTTTATAGCTTTAGTATAAAATAAAATATAGTATATATTAGTATTTATATTATTTCAATTTAAATTTTTAATTGAATAATTTTATCTTTATATTTATATAGTTTTTTTAAGAATTTTTGTTTTACCCTTCCACAAAAGTTAGTTTCAACAATTGCTACCAACCGCAAAATATATGTTTTTCTTTCAATTATATCATCTCTCACTAATTAAAAAAAATCAACGGCAAAAATCATAGACACGTTTTAGGCGCAACAAACATTTTGACTTCGTTTTTCATGGCAACTATGAAAATTTTTTGAGCCCTCCGGAAAAGAAGATAAAGGAAATATATGATATTGGAAAGTGAGGGCTAAATGGATATGAGATTCAACCATTTGAGCAAAAAAACTTCTATTTCAACGCACACTTTTTTTTTCAAAACAAAAATCAAAAAATTTGGTTATCAATCCTTTTTTTTCCCAAATCTTGATTGGATAGTTGTTGTATTGTCTATAACTTGGTTGATTTTATTCCTCAGAAAAGAAATTAAAAGATCACATGCTTGATCTTTATGTACTCTAAGTTAGAAGGGATGTTGAGATTGAAAATGTTTAGGTCCCGGAAATTCAGCCCACTTTTTCCCATAGTTTGGAGATCATATCCCATCCCAGGTATTACAATGGAAACCTAGGTTGCACTGGGACTGATACATGTATATAAATGGAATTCCCTCGGTTGCACTGGAAATTGTTTTTTACGACTTCTGGTCTGGGATTCCCTAGGACCAGCACTGCTTCCCGTGTCCCTGTTTCTCGTTGCCGTCTCTACCTTGTTTGAAACGTCAAGGGGACATTTCTAAGCCATTTCAGTGTTGTCCTTGTTTTTGGGTACTTGAGGTAGCTACAAAGAGATGTACCTGTGTATGGAGACTCAAGTTATTAACATTGTACTCAGGAGAACTTAGCAACTGCTTTTTAAATTTGAACTTGTTATGATCTCCCGCTTGAAACTAATTAACTGTAAGGTAATTAGTACAAGCTCCTTATATACTACTTACTCCTTTATTGAATTTCTAATATGGGATTTCTTTTTTTCAATACCCGCCCTCTAATTAATGAATTGTAACAATTAATTTCGACATAATCTATCATACTCTCTTCAAAATAATATTTTATTCTAGCTATTTTAGTGAAATTAAATTTTTTCTTAAATTATCAATTAATAGGTTGATAGGATCACTTTTCGGATCAGATTAATTAATGGACATTGTAAACCGACTCTTATACCATATTAAATCCTGACTTATCAATAGTGTATAACTTAAAACTAATTAATAGTAACTAAATTGATTCAAATCTCTTAGATATTACTTAATCTCTTCTTAAGTTTCAGTGTGGGTTTCTTTCCAACAACATTCCTGCTAATGAAATTGGCAAAAATTTGCATTTTAAACCTTGGTGTGCTCAACATATAACATTTTAGACAATGAAATTTGTGTTAGTAAAATATTAAACATCAAAACTAACTTACTTATTTTACACGTCAAAACTGTGAGCGGTATTGTTCATTAGTAGGTCAAATAAATGAAGTGGCAGTTAATTCTTAAAGAAAAATTATTTTAATTAATTATAAAAAAATAAATTTAAAAATTTAAATAAATTATAACACTATAAGAAAACTCAAGTTTTGCTAGGACAACTTTTCCTCGTAATTTCCTAGTAAAGGGGCCTTTACTAGGAAATTACGAGGAAACGCGTCTTGCATAACAAGTTCATCGTAAAGTCTTTTTCTTCGTAATTTCCTAGTAAAATTACGAGGAAACGTTTCCTCGTAAAAGCGTGGATACTCATTTCCTCGTAAAGTCCTCGTAAAAGCGTGGATACTCATTTCCTCGTAAAGTCCTCGTATAGGTTTCCTCGTAAAGGCCTCGAAAATAAGTACTCGTAAAGTCGTGGTAAAAACATTTCCTCATAAGAGAGTCGTAATGCTTTACTATGAATTTACTTCGAAATGGTTTTTCTATTAAAAAAAAAAATAAATAAAATAAATATAAATAATATATTTTACAAAAATTAAAATCCAAATTATAAATAAAAAAAAACAAATAACAAAATAATTTATAAATAACTAAGTATTTAAGTTTTAAATTCATAATATATACAATTAAAAAGAAAAAAAAAACTAAACTACGGATGGTGCTTGTTAAATTGACGAACGAAGTCGTCATCCCGACTCGCCAAATCCTCCTCGTCCATGTTGGTCGTTGGTTGTGACTGTGACCGTGGATGTTGTTGGGTTGGAAGCCCTCCGTTTTCCTGTCTGACAAGCAACATCTCCGCCAATTGCGGGTTTCCAACCGCCAAAACATCCAGGATATCGGAGAGAGAACTCACGTGAGCTTGCGTTGCATGAAACTACGTGTGCAGCTGAGTAGTGACATCGTGTTGTTCCTGAGCATACGTTGATGTCGCTGTGGGGACATCGTTAACAGAACCAATCCCGAAGATACGTCCCTTTTTCCTAGTGGCGACCTTTAAATAAAAAGATTACCTTTAAATAAAAAGATTAATAACGTTAAAAATAAATTAAATAAATAATAAAAAGAAAAAAGATAACAAATTATTTACCTCCTCGTAAATCTTATTCACTTCAGGAGTGGATAATATGACGGGTGTCCCAGATTGCTGAGTCAGCTGGGTCTGGCGGTGGTGAACCCGAGCAACAACCTCGTTGTAGATCCGCTCGGATCTAGGATTACAAAATGCCTAGCCTTGTTCTGGTGGGTCCTCTCGTAAAGGTCTTTCAGAGATGGAAGAACTTCTGTCTATTTAGCCTAAAAATAATTTTTAAAATTAATTATTAATTAGGAATATACAAATAGATTAAACAAATATTAATTAGTTATTAAAATATTAATTTACCATGTCTAGATGGATTCCCGCGTAAGGTTTTCGACCCCCGGTGAAGCATCTCCGTGTTGTCATGCTCGTCTCTTGTCATGCGGTTCACAGAGTTTGTGTTGGAGGTTCTGATTGAGTCCGGCAACCCCCAATATCTGATGAGGCCATCCCACACCGCAAATATGAGGCAATCGGGTTTCCCCTCCTCGTAACCATCCACCTGAAAAAAATATTTTTAAAATTATTTGAAGTCAATGATATAAACTATATAAAATTTATAAATCCACCTGAAAATCTTCCTTCCAGTTGTAGACCATGTCGAGCAATCGCGCTTTTGCCTTTGCCTCAAACTCATTCTTTACCCGCTGGTGAATCCCTATGGACCAACAATATTTTTGCTGTAAGCAGAAAATATTAGATTAATTAGTCCAATAATATTAAAATTTTTAAATAATTAAAAATATAAATTAAGTTTATTAATGACTTACGGCAAACGATTTGAACCACGTCTTTTTTGGTGTGGCTGGCCATCTTTTTCCAGTTTGGAGCTGGATCGGAAAAATATTCCTTGATACAATCGGTGACGCTCTGAGCGACACACCTGTCAACATTAAACCTGAACAAAAACAAAATAAAAATATTAATTAAATTTTTTTAATTTTTGGTTGATTAAGAAATAAATTAAAAAACATTTTTAAAAAATGAAACATACCAAAATATGTTGTGGCCGTCTCATCGGAGAGGATCTAAC